TTTGAATGACGAATAGATGTAAGTCGTCTAACTCTTTAAGAACTTGAGAAAGCATTAGGAAATCTGAGGCGAGGGCGAGCGGCGGGTCCTGATAGATTGACCCCTGAGATGTTTAAGGATGGTGGTCCAGTTTTAGCAGCTAGATTGACTGAAATATTTGGTAGAACCTGGGAACTGGACGCAGTCCCATCCGGCTGATCTCAATCCCTAACTGTCCCAATCTATAAGAAATGAAAAAAGTCTTCTTGTGACAATCACAGGGGAATAAGTCTAACTAATATAGTATCTAAATTGTTAGCCTCGATAATCCTTAGACGCCTAACTAGAGCTGATGATGAGCAGACTGGAGAAGACCAGTCTGGTTTCAGACCTGGACGTGGCTGTGTAGACCACATTTTCACACTACGACAGGTCCTGGAACACAGACACACATTTAGGCGTCCTACAATAGTTGTCTTCCTGGACCTTAGGGCGGCATTTGACTCTGTGGATCGTGAGGTTCTGTGGTAGTGCCTGTTAGTAAAAAGTGAACCAAGGAAGTACATTAACCTTATACAAGCTCTCTACTCGAACACCACTGGTCGAGTGAGAGCTTACTGCGAACTGTCATCGGAATTCTTTACATCAAGTGGTGTCCGTCAGGGATTTCCACTATCACCATTCTTGTTTAATTTTGTCACAGACATACTCCTAGATATAACCTTATCCTCGTCTGAATTCTCAGGAGTAAACCTTCTACCGAGAAAATCGCTTGCTAACTTAGAATATGACGATGACAGTCCTATTTGGTGAAGATGCTGACAAAACTCGGAGTCTTCTGACCACTCTAAGCAACAATGCAAGCATATTCGGGATGCTGACCAAAGGACGAGTGTACTGTGCAGTAGTTCACTCCGTCCTACTATACGGATGCGAAACATGGCCAGTGAGAGTAGAGGACATTTGTAGGTTACTAGTCTTCGATCATCGGTGTCTCCAAAGCACTGCTCGTGTATCATAGGACAACCGAGTAAGCAATGCTGTCGTTAGGGAACGAGTTCTAGGTAGGGATGGCAGATCAATAGATGAAGTGGTGAAACTACATCAGTTGAGATGGTTGGGACATGTTCTGCGTATGCCCAACCACTGACTTCCTCGACGAGCTATGTTTTGTGGCGTAGGAGTAGGTTGGAAGAAAGCTAGGGGCGGCCAAACTAAAACATAGCAGAAATGCATGAAGTCACTGACAAGTGGACTGAGTCATGTTGGTAGATGTAGACAACCTGGTTGGGGTCCGCGAGACGAAAGTCATCAATGATTAGAGACCTTGAACGACATGGCTCAGAATCGTTTTCAATGGTGCAGATGCATCCACTCTTTGTGTTCTCTCTAATTCTAACCTTCTGAATTCCTCATAATCTTTATCTTTCTTCTAAATATATCTCACTGAAGTACACTTTTCTAATCATATCGTCGCTCCCTAATCTTCTACATTACTGCCAATACTTCTACTATCGCTATCACTCCTGGATTTGAATTGACAGTTGCGTCTCTGTGATGTGGTATGGCAACCTGAACTGATGTACTTACGTACGAAGTTCTGCGTTGTATTTCTCTGTCTGTCGACTACGGTATTCTTGTGACACCACGTGATTGCCAGCAAATATACTCTCCATTTGGACTATCTCTTCTTTCTTATTTTAGGTTCACAACAGGTTAAGACTAGGTAGTGATTGGTTTGTAGTGATGTTCTTAGTCAACCGAGACTCGAAATACTACAAACCAAAAATCTTTAGATAATTTCATGGACAGGTAACTACCCAGTCTGTTTGTGAACCAAATTATTTTCTATCTCAGTTCATTCGAACCATGAAATGAAGATCATTACCCAGTGATATTAGAAAAAAATTTAACTCAGTTCAGTCAAAAGATTGTATCCTTCTGCTACTCTAGCCGTTAGATATGTCTGGAAGTTAATTATCAATAAGTGTACGATTAATGCCTATTTGATTCCTTGTAACGAATATTAACCACATGATTTGGAAGCTTTTAGTTCAATACCGTTTGTATTCATATCTTGAAAATCCTAAACGAAACAACCATACAGTATTTCTTCTAGCCTTTTATATTTTTCAAGCTGATGTCAGTTGATAGTAGGAACTACTTGGACTTTTATGAGATGTTGATGAAGACTGTTGAGCTGTTCAGTTTATAATACAGACTAATCTTATTTGTACAGCCATCAGAAAATCGGAACTCAGTGGAAGGTTGTTTGTCCGAATACATGACTAATCGACTGTGCTCACCACTCATCAGTCCACCAGGGAATGAAACCGTGATCTTTAGTCCTGTAGCCAGCGCCTATACTTTAGACCAAGAACTCCATGTTTAACTGTTTAAATTTCTAATCCGAATAATTTGCGATAATGCGCAGCTGGTGAGTAATTGCTTTGCACTTCATATAGTTGAACTCTAATCTTTCCTCTCAAAATTAGTCACTCGTGAGCATAGTGTGGCCACCAATATCTTAATTGACTAAACTGGGAACATGTGAAACAAACTGTCATCATCGTGCCTAACGTGTATTCGGATTTCGTGACTGCGTTAAATCTGAAGAGGGGCTCACACCTTTAGTGGCCTGAGATGACTCCAATTCGGGCGAACGGTCGAGTACGCTGTGGATTAAATTTCCTCTTCGATTTGCATGTATCATACATAGGCGAACCGCGTTTGTGCGACGGTGGTAATGAGAAGTCAAGACGGTTTTCCGGATGAATTTATTCCCTGCATTCATTTAAGTGGACATAAGAATGAAAAGTGTACCAGTAGAACGAAGTGGAGAAGGTAAGTGAGTCAACTCAATGCGGTGAGGCATGGCTAAATGTTTACACAGATGAACACACATAATCGAATAAAAACTAAGAAATAAGCGAATAATTGGCAAGGTCGACAGAAGTGTGCATAATAACTCCGTAAGAAAAGGTTAATTAGTTTGTCCGAAAACTAGAGCAAGCCCTATGGGTTCGGTTATAACTACGCAACACAACACCTCGAAATAGAGCCAATTAATTTTACATGTCCACTATGGATGCTTAAATTTAAGCCGTTGAATCATCATTGCTAATTGCAGCCCAGTTCACAGAAACCCGACTCTAAAATCACATAAAAAGTGAACCCGAAGATAATTCTCTGATTGGTTTTGCGAGTCAAGTAAATCCTAATAGCCATACTATAGCTTTTGCCCTCGGCGCCTATTCTCTCATGTTCAAGATATTGTGCAGACCTAGTTTGAAGTTACCATACATGTGTATATGAAAATCTACCACCACAAGACCGGATACTCAACCTATAAGCTAGGCAGAGACTAGAATACCGCACTGCAGGACACGACTAAAAATTGTACTATGACGGACAACACTTAACACAATCACAAGCGGCCTAAACGCAATGAGCTTAAAGTAGAGATCGAGGAAATAACCTGTCAACTGATGTCTAACCACGCCAGTATAACAGGCTGACATCAGTAATACTTTAAAGAGACAATAAATTAATCTCATCATACCAATCACATCCAAATATTTAGAAACCAATCACGTCTAACTTCGTTCAACGGCTACATAAATAAGTTAAGTACGCAGTCCATGTTCTGTACCTAGATTCTTACATGCGGTTAGCAAACTAACATCTTACACGACTGACGAGAGACAGAAGTCAGAAAAAATGAGACCACCTTAGTGAGAACATAACCTTCACACGCATAAATACCAAACATGCGCAACTTGATGCGTCGTGTAATAAAAATTCATTGTTGCTGAGTCATTGCTCATTATTTGGCTAAGGTCAACATGATTAAGTCTACTAAATGATTTGAACAGACTAGGGTTCTTAATCGCTTGACAGCTTAAATAAACCTAAACATCATCTAGAACACTGTGAATAAATGCGGTCAAAAGTCTATTGCATTAATCGATAATTCATTTTTGCCACTGTAGCATGCACATTGACGTGAAGAGTGATTTGACAGCAATTCAAGAACTAACCAGAGTCAAAGACAAATTATTTCCAGAATATCGAAAATTTCTTATTGCAAATAATACAACTACCTGTAATTTTTGTAGGATGCTCCGGGGTATCGAAATATAAGAAATTATTGATGTTAGTAGGACATCGATGGAATAAAATAAAAAAATGCTTTAAAAAAACCTAAAGGGGAGGAGACACCGAAGAGATCTTAGCAAGGTTCCTGCTTATTTATCGCTCTATACCAAACCGTCAGACGATTAACAGTCTCCCCAGCAGAAGCTCTATTTGGCAGAAAAATACGGACACATTTTGATGTCATCCGTCCTACGCCAGCTACTGAGCCCCGACGAAACTTATCAATGGGGAAGCAGTCCAATCGACATCGTGAGGCGTAAAGACGGTCGTTCACAGATATGGCTCCTACAAAGCAGGCGGCTCGTAAGAGTACGGGTGGAAAGGCACACAGGAAGCAGTTGAACCCTAGCACCAGATCCTACGAATCTGCTCAAAGAGGGTGTTAGTAGGACACAGATGGAATAAAGCATGTCTACGTTGGCTGCACGCTAATTGACTAAATCTAATCGATCAGCGCTAGTCGGTCACGTGGATTATATTCCAGAAGCTTCTCATGTAAAAACTATAAAGATACTAACGTTGTTTTGTGTTTCGGATTCGCTTCGGCTTCTTATTTCCATTAATCTTGTGCTATTCGGAATATAATCTTTTCCTGTTCCACCTCGAGTGTATTGTTGTCAGAGAACACTAAGCGATAGGAATAGCTGAGTAGACTAAGAGAGTTTTATAACAATTGACCTGCTAGATTATCAGATTTACAAGTTCCGAAACATTTATTTACCTACACACTACTTGCGCGAAGAGTTTTTTCTCTTAAATCAATAACCCTTGAAATATTCAATGATGTGGCATTTGAGTAAAATTAACTCGCGGAAGCATAACTCTAGCCGCAATACAAATGTGCGACAATGAAATATACTATCTCAATGAATATAACTTATATTCCAAACATATGAGTGTGTGAGAATCGGCTTTATAACTCTTTGTATAAAGGACCCATTTAAAAAAAAAATATTATAACAAAAGTCAAACAGAGAAGTGAAGAGTTGGACAAAATGCTGAATGTATGTATCATTAAAAGATTTTAAAGAAATCACATCCCACATTAATCTAGGTCCATGTTTTCTTCATTATTATCAGCATTCTTTTTGGAATGATTTGTTTTTGGGTTACAATTTGTGTTTGAATTATTCACATCGTTGCATTGTGCAGAATCTTGACAGTTAGGATCAGATGTATTATTATTATTATTATTAGTATGAGACGCTGGTATCGGCTTTGGAGTATTGATAATGGGATGGCACACTGATTCCATGGCCTAAAAGCAAAATGAGAAGAAAACAAACGGTGTACTAATGAGACAAGTAGTAAGTGTTGTTGTTGTAACGGTTGCTTACGATATTTCCCGGCTAAATCTTATTGCCTAGTATTCTTGACACAAAACACTGGACAAGTAACCCAAATCAGAACACGGTTGAACAGTAAGGATTGTGTTCCAAAATAGCAAGGAAAAAGAAGCTGGAGGTGATGGCGAAAGCCAAGGCAAAGAAGGCTTGAAGGCAAAGATAAATACAATGCGAGTCTATTTATAGCCTTTAGATGAGAAAGCTTCTGGAAGAAAATTCACGTGACCGACTGGACTGGATTCGACCAATCAGTATGCAGCTAATAATACGAGAATTTTCTATCCTGTTCTCCAAGCTTCGATCAGGCGCTGATTGGGTAGGAAATTAGCCAATCAGCGCGCAGTGACGTAATCATGCTTTAAATCCATCTATGTCCCACTAACAGTTGTATCTGTGTGCGAAGTCGTACCACTGACTGCATAGTACACTCGTCCTTTCGTCAGCAAACGGATATCTCGCCTGCGCCATAAGTGACACAGGTTGGCAAAAGCTAATCGAGCATTCTGTCTCCGAGCTGAGATTTCGTCAGTCACCAGGCCATCAGCACTGATCAGACTTCCCAGATAAATGAAGCGGTCTACACGCTCGACTACTTCACTCTCTATCACTAGTTCAAGTACCGATGAAACTCAGTCTTGAAGCAACATTTTGCATTTCGAGGAGGAAAATCGCATCGCGAACATGCTTGCATTGTTGCTTAGGGTGGTCAGAAGACTCCGAGTTTTGTCAGCATCTTCACCAAATTGAACTGTCATCGGCATACTCTAAGTTAGCAAGCGATTTTCTCGGTAGAAGGTCCACTCCTGAGAATTCAGACGAGGATAAGGTTATATCTAGGAGTATGTCTATGACAACATTGAACAAGAATGGAGGGAGTGGACATCCCTATCGTTTTTAGTGTCATCGTTCTCCAATCGACCTGCCTGGCATGGTAGAACCTTCAGGAAACAAACTGGTCCCTTGAGAGGAGGTATCTCGCAGTAGGATAGAAAAATTAGAAACATAAATTACCCATACACACCTACAAAGAAGGGTTTAGAAAATGTCACACAACCTGATCCAACGGATTTCCGTTTCAGACGTTAAGGCCGTTTCAAAAGCACTTTAAAACGTCCCCTAAAAAAGCCATGAGTGACCGGCCTTAAATTGAGCCCAGCAACCACTAATGAGATTGAAAAGGCTATAAGAAATACAAAGAGGGAGTGCAACAGCTGCTGACAGATTAACTCGAGACTTTCAAGTATGATGATCGTCTTAGCAATGAGATTGACTGACATCCTAGGTACAATCCGGCAACTGGAGGCAATTCCATTTGACTGAACTCAATCACTGACTGTCCTGATCTATAAGAAAGGACAACAGTCCTCTTGTGACAATCACAGACGAGTCGGTTTAGTTCCAACAATACTTCCACGCCTAATCAGAGCTCGTGAGAGAACGAACTCGAAAAATGAGGCTGGTCTTCGACCTGGACGTGGCTGTATAGACCACATCTTCACACTACGACAGGTCTTGGAACACAGACACACATTTAGGCGTCTTACAATAGTTGTCTTCCTGGACCTGAAGGCGGCATTTGACTCCGTTGATCGTGAGGTTCTGTTGCAGTGTCTGTCATTGAAAGGTGTACTAAAGAAGTACATCAATCTTATACAGGCTCTCTATTGGAACACTGCTGGCCTACTCAAAGACAATAGCGAACAGCCATCCAAACCAATTACTTCAAGTGGTGTTCTACAAGGTTGTCCACTTTCTCCGACACGCTTTCAAAGACAACACTTTCATCGTCTGAATTTCCAGGGGTTGACCTTCTACCAGGAGGTTCTCTTGTTGACTTGAAATACGCCGACGACATATTTCTACTTGGTGAAGCTGACAAAATTCAGTCTTCTGACAACCATATGCAACAATGCAAGTAATGTTTGGGATGCGATCCTTTCCCTCGAAATACAAAATATTGCTTCAGAATTGGCTTGCATCGACACCTGGACGCTTTACTTATCACGGGAGTCACATCAGTCCTAACGACGAAATCTCGGCAGGTATATAGAAGGTTAGACTGGCGTTTTCCGACTTGCGTAACTTGTGGCATCGGCAAGATATCCGTCTCCTAACCAAAGGACGAGTTTACTGCACAGCAGTTCACTCCATCCTACTATACGGATGCGAAACATGGCCAATACTGATAGAGGATATTCATAGTTTATTAGTTTTTGATCATAGGTGTCCTTGAAGCATTGTTTGTATATCCTGAGAGGGCCGGGTAAGCAATGCTAGTGTGTTAGGGAACGGCTAACTAACAACCCTGAATTTCAAGCCAAGTATCCAAGGTTTAAAGTTTCTTCTCATCATTACAGCTACATTATTTCGATGCTATATTTTTACATCTTCATGCTAATATGGTCTGGCGATTTGGATTAATGCAAATCTGTCAGGTTATAAGCTGATGATACCTGCCATTACTAACCCTATGCCTCATTCGTATTGATCAGTTATAATGAACAGTCTAGTTGCGTTTGTAGATAGCTTCAAGTTGCCATATCTCAACACAAAGATGAGATAGTTAGGACGAATCCCACAATAGCAGTGGTAGTAACAGTATCAGTAGTGGTAAGAAACACTAAACATCGGTTTCAGAAAACGTAAATGGATCACCTTGTGCTGCCACACACAATTTCGAGTCATCATATCATTCGAAGTTTATAACTAGTGGTTTTTATAGACACACGGACCCCAACCAGGCAGTTGACGCCTACTGATATTTGTCTGAGAAATTTGTCCTCAACTTCAAGTAAAGTAAGACGTCGCACAAATCTGTGACACTTGTCTACCTACCATCGATATAGTAGATTCTAACTGACTACTAGTGGAACGCTGTTTCGAAATGATTTGATGAATCATGATTAGTAGATGTTTATTCAGTTGATTCTTACGACATATATGTATTCACAAGTTCATTCAAGGCATAGATAGATAGAATCAACCTCGATAAATTAGCAAAATAAATACTACTTACTTGTTGTTGAGCCACGATATCTGAAACTTTAAGCACAGGATCTGCAGTTTGTGGTCGAGGATTTTGCTGAATCATTTGTTGGTTCAACCAGGTCTCATACTGCACTATCATATCTTCTAGCTGTTTGACTTGTGCCTGTGTTAAGTGATCATAATTTGGTTCCCCGGCTGCAATACTGTCCAACACTTTCTTTATATGCTGTACAACAAGGAAAGTTAAACAAAGGAAATATGTTTAACCGAGATATCAACTGAAACAAGAAACTGCAAAAAAACTCATAACTGTACGATCATAAGGTTGCATATCTTCACTTGAACACAAATACTGGTATGAAATGGCATTTAAATATTTATGCGCCACAAATTATTGAGGTTTTGAATTACGACACTGCCTGGAACCCCAAAACTGAAGGCGGTTTTCCCGGGGGCCTCATCCCAAGCCTTTAACCCAAAAGTCTAATCCACAAGGTAATGGAGCAACGTAAACCGATGCAGTTCCATTGTGCCCGATGACCAACAATAGGTCTATACGCTATCAATCCCATCAAGATCCGAGAACCCATGTGAGCCATTGTTTTGGAATCAGTATTCCAACTCTCCTGGGTGGATTCTCCATACTTTCAGACCCGGATTAAGCTTTGACTAGAAACGCTTTCATTCTCACAACTTCATAACCAACACTTGTGCCACGAGAAAGCAGTGAGCAGGACTTCGCTGTCAGTGGCTATATACGAATGGCCATATGTGTGAGCATGTGGAGATGGAGAGCGGACCCACTTCACTCTCAACCTTATCACGGCATTTTGGGCAGGTTATATATATCTTTGCTACGGCACTTTTTAAACAAATATTGAATAGATGAAAATTTTCATTAGGGCATCACTGAGACGAAACTTAACATACATTGAATATCTTGAATGACTGAAGATACACGAAAATACACTTTGTACACTTTTAGAAGAAGTAATGTGAGCGAACTAAGATTTTTAAGAAAGTTGAGCAGTAAAACATTAACAGTAATAATAATCATGATCGTTTATTACTATTAAAATACGAACTTATGCTTGATGTATCGAGTAAAGTCTTTAATCAACTTAGGATATGTAATTGCCATAGTTAATTTGGATGATTTTTGGTAATCAGGGTGCCTGATTATATATTTTCGTAGCTAACAAATTTAATACGGTTTTAGTCATGACAGCGATTATTAGTCAGTGATTTATACAGATATCAAAGGACTTGACTGTTCGAGGGTGTATATACCAAATAAGCATTTATAGGAGATAGGATGAAATTCAGAACATTATTTTCAAGATGGCTAGATTTATTAACACCATAGCATGCGTATATAATGTTAGGTTCTTATTAAATACAGAGACAACAGGTTTGACGAATGAATTATTAAGGTATATTTATGCTTGCACGTAGACATTAATATGAGATGACTCACCACAAGTGATCGATTGAAATTCTCAACGGCTAAAGGACGATTGAGATGTTCGTGTGCACGATGGAAAATTGGATCTCCCTTGCTTTTCAACTCAGTGAGTTTTTCTAAATAAATTTGACGTTTCACATTTTCCCCCTCACCATATATCCACTCTTCCGTCATATCTAATAATTGAAGTAATGATTCAGACTCGGCCGTTGACACGAAAGGACTCAACGAGCTTTGAAGTTTAGACCGCATCTCATAAACATACTCTTCAACTGCATTTTTAGCATTTACCCTATCTCGTTCCAATCTATCTTGTTGAATGAGATTAGCCTATCAAAGAAAACAAAAGTACGATAGGAGGCGAGATTTACAAACATGGCATTTACATTTAGTACGTACAGATTACCACTAACCCTGGAATTTAAACACTAGTCTGAATTTCTATGAACTTGCATTAAAAACTATTTAGGGAGAATTTCTTCAAAATACTAAACTTCAAGACCTTACTTGCCTTTCAGTTTGAGGGATCACAGAAAGTCACGATACACAAATCTCCGTCTTATCATAAAAAGTCGAATCACTCAAAAAACTTAGATGTTTTCGAAGTGATTGAGATAATAGTACAAGGATATCAGTTAGTCTATCGTAGTGGTAGAAAACCATAATTAATATCGGTTTCTCCGCAAGTGGTTGTCAGTCAATGCTAAGCCTAATCTGCCAACTTGGATTGGCTAGGTGATGATTACCGCTAAGGTACAGATTTTGTTCCGCTAGATCAACTAGGACTAGAGATACTATGCAACGGAAGTCACAATGAATTATCAGAGAAATAATAACACCTTGTCCATGGATTTTATTAAGAGTCCGAAATTATTTGAACATAACGCGTTCATGGAGCTGGACAAATACAATATTTGAACGTTAAGAGCTTGAACTAGTACATCTCATTGTAGCCGACATTCTTATCTATCGTAGAAAAGATAGGTTATGACAATAAAAATATTTGAATTAGATTGCGGACTTGCACAATAACTTATAGAAAATGAACAATATGCACTTCTACGAGTATGCAAATACACTTGATTATGGATTCGAAACCAGATATGCTTCGATTTAGTCTTAAAAAATAGACTTTAAGTTTAGTGAACACCTTAATTCAACTACTTTCATTTTTTTCATTAAACATACCATACAAAGAAATAGGGTATACGTACTGGTTTTCACTTAATGAGTCGTGAAAAGATAAATACAAGGACTGAATGGAATTCTAATAGATGATATCTATTGTTTATAAGGATTCGTCTAACTTAAAACCATGTTGTTTCATTCAAGGAGGCTGGGTGAAAGTATACACAAAACCAGGTGGGAAAATATGTGACATACCAAAACTTCAGAGAACTCATTGAGTTGTTTTGTGGTGAACTGCATATTACTAACATCAATACTCAAATCATGATACTTGGTGAATTTTTTCTTTCTCATTACTGTTTTCTTTTTTGGCAAAGTAGAATCTTGTGTATTAGTTTGGTTGGTATCCACTGAAGGATTTTGACTCTCACTATCTTCATTGCTGCCAGTCACGGTTGCTTCTTGTTTAGGGTTTGTAGGCTCTTCAACCACAGGATTGTCTTCGGAAACACTAACCTCAACTTCTTTTTCATACTCTTCTACCAGTTGTGCTTGTGAAACATTGAAGATACCATGCGTATTCATACGCATTTTAAGCCTGATTTTCCGAGGCTCAGCGGATATCTGAGAAGCGTCTCCAATCCTGAAAGTTCCAATGACAACATTTTGATTTGGCAAGCTATCTTTATTCTCATAACGAGCCTCCAATATGAGGACACCACGTCGAGAAAGGACGATTTGGCGTGAAGAAGGAATAGGATGCAGAAATGGAAAAACTTCGATGCACATGTTTTTGCCTTGTGTTGATACCGTACCATCAATTTCATCTGTTTCCATGCACCGTTCATTACCTTCCTCTTGATCAAATTGTATTACAATAGGATACAGACATGGTTCAAGAACACTGAAGTCTTTCACTTTGAAAGCTGGGGAGCAAATGGCTGCCTAAAATATAAGAGTCAAAACCACTTTAAAACACCGAATTAAAAATTAGTTTTCGATCAGCTTGATGGAGATTACTTGGACCATTAATTACCTCTATTCACTGATAATACTATTCACATTGTGGGTTAATATGAATTTGGTTCAGAACAGAATTGATATGCGCAAAATGTTTACACGGTTTCTGGTATAACAAATTAGGTTTCTACACGCTTCGGGAAAATGTATCATTAAACTGTTGCAAATCAGTTGTTTTTCGAGAGTAAGCTTTCCTTTTTCAAACACTTGCTAACTTAGTGTAAGTTCTAATTAATGGAGACTGGAAAACTGCAGTCTCCCAAACACTGAGTGACAATTAACTAACGCTTCTTTGGGACCTAACATGTTGATTTCATGTGCATGATTGAACCTAGGTGTGAATAAGGAGGAAGATTTTGTCAATCTACGCCTGAAAAGCTAATTATCGGGTCATAATGATTACTTTAGATAAGAATTGCTAGTTCTTTGTTTGTATTGCGGCGAATACTTAGAAAACAGTAATCAAATTAATTAACTGTGATCACAGAACTTGTTTAAAATTAGGTTGAATCATAAGGCATACCTGAAATGCGCATCCTCGAGCGACAGCTTCATCACCATTTAAGCTAGTTCTGCCTTCCTGTTTGAAGACAGATGCGATGCATTTCTTTAGCATAGGGATACGTGAACTACCACCAATAAGCTCTACTGAGTGCACGTTTTCCGGCTTCAACTTGGCCAAGTCGAGGCATTTTGTAAGCAGCACTTGGAATCGTTCCACGAGGTCCGAGCACAGTTCTTCAAAGTCACTTCGTTTCATTTTGTTCGCCAAGTCCCGGTCTTCCGTCAGACACTCGATGTTAATAGGTAATTCAGAGGAATTCGCACTCATTGCTTTTTTAAGCTTTTCACATTCATAAAGCAATCTTACGGTCGCTTTTAATGATAGAGAAGCCTATAAAGGTGAAAACGTATAGTAAAAACTTACTTTCAACTTGTATTGTTGTTGGAATTCGCTGGCAAACTTATTGAAAAGCTTTGCGTCAAAATCCCGACCACCAAGGAAGGCATCACATATCGTCGCAAGGACTTTCATCTTACCTGTGTTATAACTGCAAATACCAATTTGCGTAGTACTATAACCAACACTGACAAATGCCACTATTTTTGGTGGCTGATCAGGTGGTGGTAATTCTGAGCAGTAAAATCCGTACGCGGTACCAACTGACGAGATTAAGTATGAAAGTAGGACTTACTTGCAGTCACATCGTTAACTAGCTTTACACAGTTGAGCCCTGCAATTTTTGTGGCATCTAATACAGATCTTCGTTCAGCATCTGTGTAGTAAGTGGGAACGTTGACAACAACGTCGACTACTTTAGAACAAATAGTAGTCTCTGCAATATCTTTGAGTTTATTCATCTGAATCGCAAGCACTTGTTCGGGAACGAAAGATGTTCGTTCGCCATTTACAGTAGCCTTAGTAGAATAAAACGGCGGGATGAAAAGACTTACTGGAAGGGTAATGCGACCATCATGGGTTTCTTCAATGTGACATGTCAAGTACTTCTTCTCGTTTAAAACGGCAAAATCTGATGGACATTTTCCGAGCAGCCGAGTAAAGTTTGAAAAAGTATTCGAGATGTTCATAACCTGTTGTAACTTGGCAGCCGTTCCTACAAGGATTGATTGGCCTGAAAAAGCAACACAAGTTCTGAAGAAATCATAGGGACACTAGAGACTTACGGCGTAGCCCTGTCACTAAACTCATTTGTGATCACTTCTATGCCACCACCTCTCGCAACACCAATGTAAGAAGTCAAAGTGCCGATATCGAAACCAACAACTGACACAGCCATGATCCAAACTGACCAGAAATATGTAGAAGAGAAAGTTTACGCGCTTCACAGTCTAGAAGGTGGTTCTACTAGGCTCTATGTAGTTAAACAAACTACCGTTATTTGATGTTTAGAAGGATGATGAAATGAGTGTTGGTACAAAGGAACTATGCTAACCAGTTTCAACCAAAGTTGTGAGCAAGTTCAGGTTTTCCCCACTTTTCGGAGAAAGTGTTTTATTTATTTAATTTATTATTTAATCGAATATTGGTGATGAAAACGGAAGAAACTGGTTTAAAAGTCGTTTCACTTCCCAGAATTTTAAAGCATCCTGAGAAGGGATGCACATCCATAGTTTGACAATACTTCAATGAGCAACAGCTCCACATGGGAGTATCCCGAACCCATTCAAACCAGAAGTATGAGCGAAGGAGACCGAATGTATATCAGGCAGGTGGTCATTATGCTTAAGAATGTGTGATCTAAGCTAGTTAGGGATGGATAATACGAAGTTCAGACTAGTTCTCTTGAGACGATGGGTGACCAAGTAGCCTTAAGTGTGCCTAGTAAAGCTAATTGGGTCACATGTCGTCCAATAATTATGTAAGTGAGAACGCTACGGATGGTCGGAGTTGATAGAAACTTTTGTCCGTAACAGCTTTTAAATCAACAATATGAGAATTGGTAAGAACAGAATTATTTTACTTTTGGCACAAAAATCGAGAATGCAGGAAGACCTTATGGGAATCCTCGTATGCAGGTTTGAGTGGTGGACGCAGTAAAAAGCCTGTAAGGCATGTTGAACAAAACATCTGTTGATTGCAGTCGAGTTTTTTAAGCGTGCTTGTGTATAAATCTGGGGATCCATCCTTGAAGTAGATGACAGACACCAGAATTCGTCTGGGAGTTGGAGTGCATTATTGCGAACGAGCTTGGCTGCAGTACATGCAGCATTGGCTATCACTGCATTGCGGACTCTTAGTAACACCAGTGGAAAAGCGTCAGTCCACTGCAATACGTTTGTAGCTTTCAAATATCTTTTAAATCGCAAATGATAGGCAGTCGTTCGGATTCATGTGACTTTCAGGAATGTAGTGAGACAGAGGAAAAGACCAAATTTGAGCGGGTGTACACGGTCATAGGTAATAGTTGAAGGGCGACTGAGGTTTTCTAACCATCGTTCAACGAAGGCATAGTCTACTGGTTTAGCAGCGATATCCTTGATAGGCACGATTTTACACACGTCTAGAGGTAAAAGTTTCCTTTCATCGACTTACGGTTGTACCAAGTCAAGATAAACAAGGTTGAAGCCAGCATCAGGAGTTGAGTAAGTGCCTAAGGGACATTGATTAGGTCCAATTACCTCCGATTTTAGCCAGCTTATATTAGATCAGCTAAATCGTTATCAGTACAGCAGAGAGTATATTATGGAGATCTCTCCACAATGTTTTACTGACCATGTTTTGTATATAACATTTCTCAAGACGCTTGTAACTATGTTTTATGTTCCGCACTCGTTATTGTTCGACTTCATTAGTTATGATAACATTAGTATTTATTCTCAAGTAACAGCGTGTTACATGAGAAATGCCAGTTTGTAGGCCAGACTAAATTTTTACAAATGCCACCACATTTACTATATTACGTTGATCAATAAGATAATTAATAATACCATTTGTTTTCCGACGTAGCAGGTTTGTGCCATTCTACAAACAATATCGGTGGAATCCAGTGACATTCAAAAGTAATTTACAAGACGGTGTTTCAGGAAATCCACTTACCAAGCATTTGAGTGATGAAACAGGTTAATGAGTTCATATGTGTTAGAAAGTTAGGCACTTGATATGGACCACAACTTTGACTAGCTTGTACGTAAGATGTATTTTTTGTAGAAGAAGAAGCTCTATGGTTGTTCGCTGCTGATAAAGTTCCGAAAAGAGTCAAAGGAGAAGCGGAAAAAAGAGGAATAAGGCAACTGGATATACGACCATATCGACTTCTAAGTGATCGTGATGAAGCAGACAAAGTAAAGGTAAATCAGTAGATAAAACTCGTAATGTCTTCTAAAGCTAACATAGTCTTCAAATTCGAGAGTGTGGTAGTAAAGAACAGTGAGTTTTGGAATATATGAAGGTGGATAGAGTCAGAATAGTGGAACAGAAGTTGAATTAGGGAGGTGGATGTCTTTTGATTGACGTCGAAGGGGCAGTATGAATCGTAAAGTTTGTGAAAAACATTGATAAGTATATCGTTTGTTGTCTGTCAACTTATTTATGGAATTCCGACGTCTAAGTCATACAGCAAGCATCTGAGTAAGCGTATTGTAGGTTATCTTAGTAGGGTTGTGATCCCATCATGAGGTTGGAAGTGTTAGTCTTGGGAGTAGCAAATGTACGGTAGCAACCTCAGGATCACTGATTAGTCACCCTATTCTAAACTAAAAAGAGCCCAATATTGACGAAACCTCCTGCCACACAAACATGAGTGGAATGAAGAAATCGTCTTTATTACCATTGTTTACTGGACACTATCTCTCCTGCTATTCCTTTATTCCCAGGATGAAACAGCTCTTCCATCGTCTCCCTAGCTAAGTAGTGGATCAAATGGAGTAAATGCAATTTATCGTCATCGACTCGGGGTTCGACATAAGTTTCAAATTGACGCATACATTTCCAGTATCCACGAGGTTGTCCATCAAAATAGCTTGACTCAAACTTTGGTAATTCTAAGCCTATAACCGGCGCTATAGACATCAATTTTTTCTAGGCACTTTAAGATCATCATTCAGACTACAACTTTTAGTGCCGTCTAACAATGGCTTACGATAAAATATACTACTATTTCGATCTTCCCTATCTGAGAGCGAACCGCTTAAACTAAGGTAGCTAAAAGGCACTTGCTTCAAAACAAAGGATTCGTAGTTCTGTTCGTCTTCATGGCTTCCAGCCAGACTTGAACTTGACTTCTTCTTACGAGAATTCATTGTAATACCTGCAATTCATGAAAAACGAAACTCCAAATTAATGATATTGCCTAGGGTTTTTAACTCCAATCTACCAATATTATTAAGAATTTACAATTCGCTGGTTCCGTCCTCTTGAATTATCGTTGAGAACTGGGACAACAAGAGGATTCTTCTTCTGTAGAATTGAGAGTGGATTCTGATTCCGGAAAAACAGTTCTAGAAGTTTAGATACGCGCCTTGCCCAGTTAATCCAAATAGAGAGCAATTTATCTGGGTAAGAAACGATTCTATTATTAATAAGACGATAAAAATAATTACCTAAAGAATATTACACTGTTATTCTTCATATTTAACGCAATATGTTTCTAATTCTGGAAGAATGCTTCCGTTTTGGTCCAAAATCGCACTCTTTCGGTCCAGACCTGCGTTTCACCCTCCAGGGTGTCAAATCCGATTTGACTGAGGCCATAATTAATAATTATACAGTTCAGTGGAAAACAGAAACTCCATTAAAGGTACAAAAAATAGAAACTATAACAAAATACAAATATTAACATCACAAAATGGGATTAAACAGAGTACCGAAATGTAGCACAGAAATAGTCAGTAAGAACATATTACAATCTAGTACATGGAGGGATTTTCCCAAAACAAAACTTCCAAAATGGATTCTGCAACGGCCCGCAAAATGCCTCCATACAAAACAAAGCCCCTTTTTATGCCTCAAATCATGGTTCACTCTCACAACCTAATCCACATCAGCAGAAGGAGTAGGACTTACAGCAGTACGCCCACCCGCCCTTCAACATGTATATGACCTATCAAGCTCACTATGCACATGTACTTTTCCCTCAGGTTCTTGATCCCTCTATCTATCATAGCGTGACCTAAAGGTCGTATAAACGTCATCCAGTTGAACCACATGAACATGAATTTACTCTCCATATTATAAAAAGGATGAAGCGTCAATCCACCACCAGTTGCTTCAAACGGCAAACACAATGAAGTCATTGATGCCGAATTATCAACAGAAGTCCTTGACCCATATATAATATGCAAGGGTTTGATCGCCAGTTTCGACATTTCCTCGTCTCCTGAAGACTCTGAATGGTATAAGGTAAGAACTGTTACGTCCAAGTTTTGCTCCTTCCCGTTATTGAAGTACAGTATGTCGATCTATTTGCAATTCACGAACCCAAATTAACAACAGAACCAAACTCCAAAGTAAGGTACCAAAGTTTATTCGCAATTCACAAATAGTTGACCAAAATGTCGTTCGCAATTCACAAACAGTTGACTAAAATGTCGTTCTTCAATTTTTTGTGCTCCTGGAGCAAAAACTCCTAATTACCAAACCAAGACAAATAGAAATCAAAATGTCCAAAAATAATAAATCAAACAAGTTCAGAAGTTAAGTAAAACAAATATACCCAAAAAACACAGTGAAGTTAATGACATTTATATAAAGGTTTTCATCAGCCAAATGTCTTCATTTCTCCCGTAACACTCCTGACCAAAAGAACCTTGGTTCTTTTCACCGACAAAAATTGGTAACAACAATCCAAGTATGTGCATCACAAGCAATGAACAACAGACATTCAATACAGATTCTACACCGGCCCGCAAAATCCCTCCATGCACAACAAGCACTTTCTGACATTTCAATTTAGGGTTCACTCTCAGCCCCTAATCCACACCGGAAGAACGAGTAGGACTTACAGCAGTACGCCTACACGCTCTCCAACGTGGATATGACCTATCAAGCTAACTAGGTACCTGTACCTTCCCATCAGGTCCTTGATTCCCCTATCTATCGTAGCATGACCTAACGGTAGTATAAACTTCATCCAGTTAACCCGCATGAACATGTATAACACGTCGTAAAGCTGGTCATATCCTATTCGGGATTTACATTCCACATCATAGGGATGAGTCGTCAATCCACCACTAATTGCTCCGAACGGCAGATACAATGAAGTCCGTGATGCTGACTTATCAACAGAAGTTCTTGACCCATAGATAATATGCAGGGTTGGGATCTCCAGTTTTGATAGTTCATTGTCTCCCGAAGACTCCAAATGACATAGCATAGGAATAATATTTAACTCTCCATCTCCTGATACAGAGGAG